CAAATATGAATAGAAATTTTATATAAATATGAATTTGAATAAGTTTAAGAGTTAATTATATTATATTTTTTAAACTATAACTCTCATTTTAAATTAGTTTTTAATTTTTAAATTTTTTATTCTCATCGTTAAACTATGAGGCTCATTTTAAATTAGTCTTTAAATCTTTAAATATTTTAATTTTATTATGATTTTCATTCTAAAGTGGTCCTAAGCATTTTAACTATGAGTCTCATTTTAAATTAATCTTTAATTTTTTAAATATTTTAATTTCATCGTTAAATTATGATCGTCATTCTAAAGTGGTTATAATCTTTTTAACATTTTAATTTTATATCAAACTATCAGTATATGCTAATCACACCTCTTGTTAATAAAACTTTCGGTCAAATTAATATTATTATATGCTTGAAAAAATTCATGGTTTAAATTAATTACATATTTGGGAGGATTTGGGGATGGAATTGAAAGATTTAAAAGTTCGTGACTAATTTAGAATGAGGGTCATAGTTTGAAGATGAAATTAAAATGGTTTAAGGGCTAGTTTAGAATGAAAACATAATTTGGGGACGTGTAAGATGGTTAAACCACTCAATTAATATTAGTAAGATGTTTAAATCAAGGCTTAATTAGGAATAAGTGCCCAATCTATAATGCTTTTCCCAATAGATACCTAAACTTTTTTTTGCTCCATCCAGGTCTCTAATGTTACAAACGTTATTATTCTAGATACTCATGCCGTAATAGCCACTAAATTTCTCCATTAAGTTATATGTGTCATGTTTTAGTAATTTTAAGAAATTTTATTTAAAATAAAACCATAAAATATAATTAAAACCCGATTTTCTCAAACTATAAAAAAACCTAAAAAATTCTTCAAACCCTAATTTCAATCCTTTTACCATTGTCGATCGCTACCATCGTCATCAATCGGCCAAATTCTAATGGTGTATGATTGGAAGAACACCCGACGGACGAAACCCCCTACTCCAACCTCTATTTTTAGCAAAAATCGGCGATAAATGTGGAAATTGACGTTCGCGAAATGTTACAGTTGCACTACCATTGGGTGCTCAGCCGATTACAAAAACAAAGGGGTTTTGCCCGTGGTTGGTTGGTCCGTCACACGTTGTTGGGTGGTCATCCAATTGAAGGCGATGGTGGCAATCGACAATGACAAAAAGATTGAAATTAAAGTTATAAAAGTTTTTGGGATTTTTATTTCAATTATTTTAAATTTTGGGTTTTTTCCTTTCAAAAAATTATAATTTTTTTAGCTTAAATAAATTTTTAAATTTTTTATAAAGGTGACATATATCCTTTAATGATAGAATTTAATGAACGAAACACTTAGAGTGTTAACGTTTATAATATTAGATATCTAGATGGAAAGAAGAAAAGTTTAAGAATCATTAGAAAAAAAATATGGTTTGTATATTTATTTTCTAATTAAGCCCTAAATCAAACCCAATTTTGACCCAATTTGATCCGACGAGCCACTGCCGGGCATGTAAAGTGACAGCATATCCAGTGTGGTTATAGATGGAAGCTTGAGCTTAAAACTCATTTCTATAACAATGGTGGGATTGGGCATTGTTGATAAGGATCCAAAACCCGTTTACGTTACCCAAATACCCGCCAATCCTTCACAACCTTAACAAAGAACATAAGCCCTTCCAATTCTCTTCTTCCCCTTCAACCCCTCCAATGAACTGCACTCACTATCCATTTCCAACTGTTAAACCCTTTTTCCATTTCTTATTAAACCATAATTTCAAAACCCTAGCCTTCCCAACATCTACCCGGATTCTGAATTTTCCACCGAACCATCCAATTCGTAAACCCTTACTATCATATTGCGGTGAATCCCCCAATTTTAACTCTGTTTCAAAGAGAAGGGATTTTCAAGTTAAAGCTTCAACCGGAAGTAACAATGGTGAAACGGGGAAATGGGTGAGCTGGTTGCCCACCGGAGGCTTAGCAGCGGATAAAGTTTTAAGATCGATTTCAACTGCTACTTCAAGTCCAATTTGCCAGTTCATTTCTTCACCTACCACTTTCTTGCATTCAGTGGACCCTAGAATCAAATTGGTAAAGACTTAAAATTTTCAATCTTTCGAGATTGTAAACTGTGATGAAATTGGTCAAGTTTGGTTCTCGGATAGTTGGCTACTTGGTACTTTTGATTTCTTTTGTGGGGGGCTTGTTTTAATGGTTTAAGTTGTTTTTGGGTTGATTAGATTAATATCATTATTGAGTGGTATGAATAACTTTTGTGTGTGGATTTTTTAATGAATTTTCTTCATTGCAATTTGGCGAAAATGTCCAGCTGAAGTTATGACACATTATAAGCTAGGAAGTTGCCTAATTATTTATCTGAATTTTTTAGTATCATGAGTTGTCTTCAGGTTTCCTTTCTCTCTCAATGCCTTATGCCTTACTGTTTATGCCATTGGAAAAAATACAGAGACTGACTTAGATACTGATCTTGATTATGCAGGTATGGCTGTTGGCGTTAGTTGCTTTACCAGCACGTGCCCAAATAGTTGTTCGTTTTGGATTGGTAGCATTCATCGCTCTTTTGTCAGTATTGTTTCTCCCAAAACCTGTGTGGGTGGTAAGGGTTTAATGTTAACTACTAGAGCTCAGTATATTTGGATAAATTATTCAGTTTCTGAATGCAACTTTCATGTATATTTCTTTGAACATTTTGCTTAATTATCTTGATCAAGTTTGGCTTTTAAAATATAGAGGGTAAAATGAGAAATTGTATTTTTCTGATGAACGTAGTTTGTTGCTGGAGATTAAACTTCAGGTTAATTGTTTTAACTTATGCCAAATGTGTTAGTTTTGTAGTTTTTTTGTGTGTGTGCGCGCGCTCGCGTGTGTGCGTGCAAGTTGGTATAGTTTATAATGACTTGTCAAAGGTTCTGTTCACCTGCTGTCTATATAGTATATACGAGTGAAAATTATGTTGTTGTTTGAACTTTGAAGAGACTTTAAACCATAATGGCTTTTGGTTGCTTCCTCTGTTGCTTGGTTGATTTGTGTGCCTTAAGTTGTGCTCCGAGCTTTCATGTCACTTTTGAAGTTTAACTTGCATGGTACTAAGGAAACATTCTGTCCGTGCTAGTTGCATGTTGTACAATATACTGATTTAAATAATATTTTATTGTAATACTGGCATACTGATTTCAGCAATTATTGTAGGAACAATTGGGGAGGGTGTCGCTCCTTTGTGGAATTTTATTCATACTGTCAGGGCTTGGTACTGATGGTGTTCCACAACTTGTTCAGTCAAGAACCCCATCATCTTCGCTAACAGGGTTGCCTGATCTTCCTAAATCGTTAAGTGGATATTCATATTTAATCATGAAGCTAGGACCATTACAGTTAACACGGAAGGGCTTATCTGTTGCTAGCACAGCAGCAAGTTTAACCTTCATTGTAAGTTGCTTACAACAGAAAAAGGATATAATATTGCTTTCTAAAACCTTCTACGAGATATACATAGGCAACTATGTAACTACACAAATATGTAAGTCTTGCACAGTAGCTTAGCAGTATCGTGTTTGAGAAACAAGTAAACTCTTTATAATTCTGAGATAGGTCTCTATTTTTTGAAAGATCTTTCAAAGTGCAAGCCTCTGCTTAGCAACCACGACCCCGGAACAACTTGCATTTGCTTTGCGGTGGTTTATGCTCCCTTTGAGTTATATAGGTGTCCCAGTGGCTGAAATTGTTCTTACACTCATGCTTTCCTTGAGGTTTATCAATTTAGTGTTTGATGAGGTAAGGAAAATAGTCAGTACTACTGCATTCTCTCTAGTAGGAAATTTTTCTTGTTTCATGCTTGTGTTTGTTAATGTGGGATTAATCATGTCAAAATTCATGTGTGAACAGGTTCGTAA